GTTGCTGAGAAAACTATGACCAAAATTTATTATGTATGGTACGGACAGACGCACGGATAAACAGGAAGTCGACATCAGATTTGTTCCAAAAATGAATCCTATTATATGGCATGCCTAAACAAAGATTGTGCTAAAATTTCAAGCATCTGCAATTAGTAGTTGCTGAGAAAACTACGACCAAAATTTGTTATGTATGGTACGGACAGATGCATGGATAAACAGGAAGTTGACATCGGATTCGTACAAAAATGAATCCCACCACATGGCATGCCTAAACAAAGAGTGTGTTAAAATTTCAAGCACCTATGATGAGTAGTTGCTGAGAAAACTGTGACCAAAGTTTGTTATGTGTGGTACGGACAGACGCACGGATAAACAGGAAGTTGACATCGGATTCGTACAAAAATGAATCCCATCATATGGCATGCCTAAACAAAGAGTGTGTTAAAATTTCAAGCACCTGTGATGAGTAGTTGCTGAGAAAACTGCGACCAAAGTTTGTTACGGACAGACAGACAGACAGACAGACAGACAGACACACAAGGGTAAAACAGTATACCCCCCTCTCCTTCGGAGCGGGGGTATAATAATAACGAACACAATTTTTAAATGGACTGGTATAGGGTGAGTTAACCATGCATCGGACACATACCTTGCTTCGGACAACTTTAAGCAATAAACTTTCATTGAACCTGAGTGTCCCCGTGTTTTTACTAGTTTCTGTCTTAAAGGTGAAGATTTAAACTTTTTAATGATGCCGATTTTTAGTTTCATGCTGTGATAAAAATACCACAAGAATGGCCTTGAAATTACGTCATATTTTGCATCATCAAAGGGGAGTAACCAGAATTTTACGATTTTGCAATTTTTAGAGTTGTCGTTCTTTTAAATTGACTTCAATGGAACGAGTCGGACCTAGGTAAAATTTGTCAAAGATTGATAATTGTAAAGAATTTTTTAAAAAAATTTTATTTCAATGTTTGTAGAATATTTTTTAGAGTTGTTTTTTCATAGTATGTTCATTTCACCTTACATCGGACACAAATAAACCATGCATCGGACACTTTCTGATGCATGGGTAATCACTTCCATTTTCATATAAAACCCAAATGACAGCTGTTTTTTGCGGAAATAGAAAATAACAAGAGGCCCATGGGCCTTGAATCGCTCTTGTGATAAACTGTACAACCTATCACTTCTATTTGAAGCCTCGAAGTATCCTGTATATTTACATAAACCCTTGAAATTCCAATTCACACTCTGAGAACCCAAGATGATTCTAAGCCAATTAGTACCTGAGAGTTGGTCATGGTGACCTACTTATCACTTGTCATTCTCTGAGGACCCATCAACTAAGTTTGATGATTCTAAGCCAATTAATACCTAAAATATTTTTTAAAATTATAATCATAAAATTTTATAAGTAGGTCAAAGTGACCTACTTTTCAATTGTTTTACTCCAAGGACCCAAGATGCATCAACTGACAAAGTTTGATGATTCTAAGCCAATTAGTACCTGTAATATTTAATTAAAGCCATAAATTTTCAAAAGTAGGTCAGGTCACCGTGACCTACTTTTCAGTTGCTGTACTCCGAGGACCAAAGATACATCAACTGACAAAGTTTGATGATTCTAGCCAATAAGTACCCAAAATATTTAATTATAGCCATAAATTTTCAAAAGTAGGTCACAGTGACCTACTTTTCAGTCAATCTACTCCGAGGACCAAAGATGCATCAACTGACAAATTTTGACGATTCTAAGCCAAATAATTCCTGAAAATATTAAATACAGCCATAAAATTTCAAAAGTAGGTCACCGTGACCTACTTTTCAGTTGTTGTACTCCGAGGACCCAAGACGCATCAACTGACAAAGTTTAATGATTCTAAGCCAATTAGTACCCGAAATATTTGATTAAAGCCATAAATTTTCAAAAGTTGGTCACCGTGACCTACTTTTCAGTTGTTGTACTCCGAGGACCCATGACGCCTAAACTGACAAAGTTTTATGATTCTAAGCCAATTAGTACCCGAAATATTTAATTAAAGCCATAAATTTTCAAAAGTAGGTCACGGTGACCTACTTTTTAGTCGATCTACTCTGAAGACCCAAGATGCATCAACTGACAAAGTTTGATGATTCTAAGCCAATTAGTACCCGAAATATTTAATTATCGCCATAAATTTTCAAAAGTAGGTCACGGTGACCTACTTTTTAGTCGACCTACTCCGAAGACCCAAGATGCATCAACTGACAAAGTTTGATGATTCTAAGCCAATTAGTACCCGAAATATTTAATTAACGCCATAAATTTTCAAAAGTAGGTCACGGTGACCTACTTTTTAGTCAACCTACTCCGAAGACCCAAGATGCATCAACTGACAAAGTTTGATGATTCTAAGCCAATTAGTACCTGAAATATTTAATTATAGTCATATAAATTGAAAAGTAGGTCACGGTGACCTACTTTTCAGTTGACCTTTTTTGAGGACCCAAGATGCATCAACTTACAAAGTTTTATGATCATAGGACTTAAAATGTCCAAATTATGCCTCTAAAATGCTTTGAAATCGAATGCCTGCAAAGTTCAAAAAGTAGGTCACTGTGACCTACTTTTTAATAAATATGTTTTATGGCCCCAAGATGCATCATCTTACAAGATTTAATGATTCTAAGCCTCCCCGTATTCGAATTAATGACCTTAATTGTTTTAAAAAAGATTAGCCATAAAATTCAAAAAGTAGGTCAAGGTGACCTACTTTTTAGTTGACGTACTTTGAGGACCCAAGATGCATCAACTGACAAAGTTTGATGATCATAGGCCTTAAATTGTTCAAAATATGCCTCTAAATCATTTTGAAAAAGAATGGCCGCAAAATTTAAAAAGTAGGTCACTGTGACCTACTTTTGAGTCAACATGATATGAGGTCCTTAGATGCACCAATTGACAAGATTTGATGATCCTAGTCCTTATAGTAAGCAAAATATCAACATTTTAATAAAATGTAATTTTTGGTCAACTTTGAAGTGACCTTGAGACCATGCCCTTTGCCCCAGGGTAAATCCCCATGCAAATTTTAATCTACAACATATCCTCATCCTTTTGTGTAAGTTTGGTGATAATCTGCCCAGTGGTTCTTGAGAAGAAGATTTTTTAGCAACCAGTACTTTTGTTTCTATTTTCCTAATTATCTCCCCTTGTTAAAGGGTCACAACCCAAGTTTTAGTATAAAAGGGAGCCCTTGGGCCAAGGATACCCTGTGACAAATTTGCCAATAATTGGCCAAGGGGTTCTTGAGTTATGGCCCATATTCTAAAAAGTTTACGCACACCGCACAAATGGCCATAGCATTAGCTCTTTGAGCCTTTGGCTCAGAAGAGCTAAAAACTCTAAATTTTCTATGAAAATACAAGTTATCGATATATGACTACTAGAAGTGGACTCAATTTATTTTTTTTAAACTTGATGATGATAACCCCCGAGAAAAAGGCGCGAGATGGCATATTACTAGCATATTGTAACGCCTTTCTAGGGCGATGTGATGCACCTAAAATCTCTTCACGTTTGTGGATCGAAATAGTCATTCAAATACAACTATAAGGTTAATTTTTAAATAAAAGATAAAAATGTTTCAACATTACTGATTTTAAAGCACCGAGATCAAGGTATGATATTTTTTCGGTTCAAAATACCGTATGTCCGATGCAAGGTGAATATTGTCCGAACCATGGTGAATTTTGACTTATTTCGAAAAAATCATTTTTTAGTGATATTTTCTCAATAAATAACACACGATTGTGTTAAAAAATTATATTTTAACCACATACTACATGTTAAGCTCCATTTTGATAATATTCGGTGGGTAGCAATATCGCTAGATCTTGTTGAATTGCGAGGGTGTATGATGCATGGTGAATTCACCCTAATCTAGAAAACAACCAAAGAATTCTGAATTCAAATCACTGTCAGTCAGGAACCTTGCAGAAATCAAGTATTCAATTTATTGTTTTATTTATAAATTAATGTAAACTAAATATATATGCACATTTCTATTAGAAAAATGCACTTGCCCGATCGGACAAGTACATCGACAGTTTCACTTGCCCGAACTGAGGATTTACTTGTCCCGGGCAATTGGACAACCGTTAATGTCGATCCCTGCAGTGATAATTTTCAACTTTGGATATAGCTAAATCAAGAGATGTGTTGCACATGTATAGATAAGTTTTATTACTTTTTCAGCCATGTGGGCATAAAGAGAACAAACATAAGAAAGAAAAAAGGTCTATATAATATAAGTAAAAAAGATCATGTACATACCCATATGTATATAAACATGTACATGTACACGACACATATTGTGGTAAGGGGTAGTACGTAGGTACAGGATAGGATTGTATTTCAGAAAAGAATGACTTCGTCCGATACGGTTTAAACAAACAAGGTCGTAATTAACATTGATATTTATGTTTCTATGAAAGGTACACTGGTCACTCTCTGATACGCATTTTTCTTTCAATTTATCTCTGGCATAACAGATTGGTACGTCTTGGATAACACGTAAAAACACCGGCAATTTTAGGCCCAAAAAAAATTCTTTTAACAGAGATTTCCTTATAAGGACTAAGTTAATCTCTGAATAGGGCATAGCATTGGATCTCTGTTTGGTCAAATAAAAAATAAATATCATACCCTGTGTTATCAGGATCATTATCTGCTTTATATCTTCCACTATTTTGTAGTACCATTTCTAGTGATTTCTTCCCACTTCCAAATAAACAAAATATTGGCGCCAAATCCTTTTGATATATTTGTACAAAACGATACAATTCCGAACCAACGTTAAATTAATCCAAAGATAAAAGACGAATTCTTTAAAATTTGAAAATTTTATAAATATATCTTAAATGGTTGAAAAAAATCGACAGAATAACAGATATTTAACTTTGGTCCTTTTCGTTTTGGCCGTTAAAAATCTGCACTAATCTTAATTCGAATCTCCTCTGTCCCACTTGTTTAGATGCTAAAGCAGCATAAGCTTCAAAATTTTTGTGTAACTCCCCAAAATGGCTTTCTCTTCTTTCAAAATATGTGCAAGGTAATAAGAAACTTTTCAAGATATGCTAATCTTTAAAATATAACTTTCAACTTTTGTAGTGTAATAGAGAATGTTAATCTTCAAATCATTATTATGATTATTCCGAATTGTCTCGGTTTCCCTTTACAGGGTTAGGACTGCTATAGCCCAAATGCGAACCCTTATTGATGTTATTAATGTAATTATATATTATGCTTTGAAACTCATTTGATGCTTTGCATGAATAAACATAATAATAGTAATAATGATTATATATATAGCCAATTTGGATTATATAGATGTAAATTGACATTACAAAATTTGAAGGAAAAAATACATTAGGATGAATTCACCAGGCATCGGACACCCTCGCACTTCAACAAGTTCTAGCGATATCGCTACCGACAGAATATTATCAAAATGGAACTTAACATGTAGTATGAGATAGAATGATAAATTTTTAATACAATCAGGTGCTCTTTATTGAGAAAATATCATTAAAACTCGACTTTTCAGAAATAGGTCAAAATCCACCATGGATAGGACAATATTCTCCATGCATCAGGCATACAGTATTTAAACCAGAAAAATATCACACCATGATCTCGGTGCTTTAAAATTAGTGATATCGAAACATTTTTATCTTTTATTAAAAAATTAATCTTCTAGTTAAATTTGAATGACTATTTCGATCCACAAATGTGAAGAGATTTTAGGTGCATCACATCGCCTTAGAAAGCCTTTACGATGCTATTTATATGGCAACTCGCTTTTTGTCTCGTGGGTTATCATCATCTCTAGTTTAAAGAAATAAATTGGGTCCACTTCTAGTTGTCATATATCGATATCTTGTATTTTCACTTCATATTTAGAGTTTTTATTTTCTATTTCCGTAAAAAACAGCTGTCATTTGGGTTTTATAAAATGGAAGTGATTACCCATGCATCGGAAAGTGTCCGATGCATGGTTAATTTGTGTCCGATGTACGCTGAAATAAACATACTAGTAAAAAACAACTCTAAAAATTATCATACAAACATTGAAGTAAAATTTTCGAAAAATTTCTATAAAATTATCAATCATTGACAAATTTTACCTAGGTCCGACTTGTTCCGTTGAAGTCTATTTAAAAGAGCGACAACTCTAAAAATTGCAAAATCGTAAAACTCTGGTTACTCCCCTTTGATGCAAAATATGACGTAATTTCAAGGCCATACTTGTGGTATTTTTATCACAACATGGAAATAAAAATCGGCATCATTGAAAAGTTTAAATATTCACCTTTAAGACAGAAACAAGTGTCCGAAGCAAGGTATGTGTCCGATGCATGGTTAACTAACCCTATCTTGAAATATTGGAAATGTGCATTAAAACATAAAAAACAATAATTTGAACAGTTTAATGGTATAGGAGTGTTTCCATATCACTTCTGTTAAGGACATTGATTCTGAAGAAGATGCAAAACTTCTTTGAGATCAATCTCCACATGGTATACCTTCCTGAGACGTCTAGTGTATTTTTCTTTATAATCGATAATTAGGCCCTTGAAGATCGGTTGTTTCTTTGCTTCATGATTTCACATACTTTCAGGTTCCTAAAAAAACTTCCAAAATTTTTTTTTTCATTTTTGCACTGTAAATTTGTAAATTTCCCATTAGGAATATTATAACCCAAACAAAATAATATATCACATTTGGGCTTCTGATCCCAACCTGTTTACTCTAAATCTTATCTTTCAATCAAAGTAAATGAGTCATCTTGTAAATCATGGTAATTTTCTTGTTATTTACAGACTGTTTCAAGAGAGTGCACTGATATGTAATAGTTTTCATACCTGCAGTCCACAATACTTTCATGACTCCAGAATTCTCAGGTAAAACTTGGGACCTATATATTAATATATAGATTCCTGGTAAATAAATATATATATATATACAAACAGTTGAACTTCGTTATCTAAAACATTAATGTCACGGATATGTCAAAGTGATTTGGAAGTCCAAACCTATTTAATGCAAGTTGCGATTTGAATGAACATCAAATCACAAGAACAAGAATTCACTAGTGGTCTATTGATCAAGACTTTTTACATTTATTTCATCAATAAAAAAAATTAAAGCAAGTAATTTCCAGTTGAGGGTGGTGCTTCTAGCTAAATTACTTAGTAATAATTTAGGATTCTACAGTAATTAGATTAATTTAAGTAAAATTTTTAAAGTATATATATATTTAAAGTAAAGTAATATTTATCTCCATGCCTCACTCCACTGAAAATGTGCATTTCATAAAGGCATCATTTCAATAGCTTATAGAAGATATAAAACTAATTAAATCTATGTAGCTTAATCTGGAGATTGTGCAGAACCTGTTTATTTCAAGGAACCAGCTAGGGCTCTCGCACCACTTTTTTGGGGAATTGGGCAGGGGTTGTAAAGATTGGGGAAAAAAACAACTTTTTGGGAAATTTGGGGATAATCATTATACTTGAATATCATGATATATTAGGTCTCTGGCCTTTGTTATCTTAAGTTTTGTTTTGCAACACAGAGTAATATGAACAGCAAAATTAGTTATATATCCAACAATATTTTCAATATTGGAAAATCATCACATTCAATTTGAAAAAAGGTATCTTTTTTTGAATTGGAAATGGGGCCCTTGAACGGCCCCAATTATAGACATTTGGGAGCCCTGGGAACTGTTTTTGACAGTGAGGTTTCTGTCAGTAAAATGATATGTGTATTTCTTTACAGTTCCATGCCAACAAAACGTAAAGTCAAAATTGATCCAAGAATCCTTATAGAAAAAGAACAAAGGAAGAGGAAAAAGATTGAAAATGAACTCAGGAGACTTGAAAGAAAAGAGGGAACACTGAAACCTATAGATGAATATGATTCCGTGAGAAAGTTGAAACGACAAGTCAGGTAAATATTATTGTCCACCCAGTTGGAAAATGGTTGGCAGAAAAAAAATTCCAACATGACTTTGATCTAAATCACTCATGTCAAATATGCGCTGCGTAATGCATTTAAAATTTTGTGTTGATGTTGTGCCAATTTTGTATCACAGTAGTAAGGATGATTCTGTTGAATCAGGTAGTTGGAAGGGATTTTTTCAGGGAGCACTATTTAAAAAAAAAAATAGTAACAGCGTTAAATAGTAGATATAAATTTCTCTCCTCATTGTTTTTCGTAGAACTTAATAAGTACAGTAAAACCTGTCTTATATGGACACCACTAGTTCCATAGAAATTGGCCAGATTAGATAACATTTTAAACAATTGAAATTATTTAAAGAAACTAAAAGTTCTCATTGTAATAGGCAAGATTTCAGATTACACAACACCTGGTTTAGACAGGTTTCACTGTATGTATCCTGGTGAAATTCTGTATCAGAAATTTCACCTAATTATTGCTGTCTTTTTGTTCATTTCACAAATGTTTATTCTCCTATATTTTTACAGCCAGTATTCAGCTATTTAAGAAATATTTTAATTTTTTCAGTTAGAATGTTTGAAAAATACTTTTTAGCTCCCCTGAGCTGAAAGCTCAAGTGAGTTTTTCTGATCACTCATCGTCCATCGTCTGTCCATTAATTAATCTCTTGCAAAATTTAATGCCTTAGAGTACTATATGAACACTTTCTATCAGCCTGTCATATATGTTGTGATCTTTATGATTTTTTGAAATCTGTATACTGTTGAATCATTTTAATTCGTGGGGATCAATGTTCATTGGCAAGCAAAATTTTACTTGTTAGTGGGGACATTATTTTGTGGGTTACCTGTTTATATGGTAGATTCAATGAATCAACATGTTTACAAAATAAATGTTCATGGGGGTGTATATTTGTGGGTAAGGGTGATCCACAAAATCCACAAACATTGACCCCCCACAAGCAATGATGATCCCACAATAATCTTTTATTAAGCGTAGATGGAAATATGTGAAAAGAATAAAATAATAAAAATATAAGTGCCAAATAATAATTTACAGTGACAGAGCCAGGCCAATTCCTGAATTACCCAAGGAGGAAGTATTAAGAAGAATTCAACTAGAAAAGGACTGGTGTCATTACACAACTAAACAGTACAGAGCTCTGAGTTGGAGCATACATCAAGCCACAAAGTTCTCTGCTGAAACCTTAGTGGAACTTCGTAAGGAGTCAGAGGAACTCTATGTGCAGGCCATTCAGGTAAACACCAGGTGTACATATAGGTAAATGATAGTTAAAGATGTTTAGACAAATCAGCTGGTGTAATATGAAGTAAAATTGTGCAAGTGGAGAAATATTATGATTAATCTCTTTAATTTGATTACCATTACAACAGTTTTTTAACGAATTGTTTGCAATTGATACACTGAAAACTATGCTGTTCAAACTAGTGTTTTACATTATTAAGATTTTATGTACCTTGTGATGAAATTGAGTTTTTAATAATTAACTACTGAATTGTAATCTTTGTTAATTCATATAATATTAACAAAGTTTTATTTCATATGATATAAATTAGAACTTACTATTATACCATCTACAGGTGGTGATGTGTCAGGTAATGCAAGGAGACATACATGTATTGGTTTGGCATGATTGTCTGTCCTCTGTCACAAAATTTTGTTTAGGCCGTAACTCCTGATCCATTAATTGGAATTAAACATACAAGTACTTCAAATTTAAGTATTTCATTGCCTTTGATCTAAAGATGTATCAAGGTCATATCCTAAAGGTCAGGGTCACTGGGCCATAATATAATATATAAATGGTGTCAGGGCAATACTTCCCAAAACCTTGATTGGAATGGATTCAAACTTTTATATGTGGTTGCACATGAGCTAAAAACATATAAGGCCTTTAATGGCTATATTCAAGGTCAAAGGTCAGGTTCACTGGACAATGAGATTGTGAAATGGTGTTCAATTCATCAATCTTAAAAACTCGACTAGAATCAAAACATAAAATTGAGATTCAAAGTCTTCTCAACAGTATACCTATATCATAACTAAGGGTTTACATAAGAGAATTATGAGACATCAAACAACAACTAGTGAAAGTTTCTTTTGAATTGCTTCCTATTTGAAGCTATTTCCATGTGCTGCATGCAAGATATCAAAATAAATAGCAAATTAGACCAGATTGACAATATTATTATAATTTTTTTTAAAGTTGTGATTGAAAATGATCTTTTTTTTCTTTCGGCAGGAAGATCCTAATCTTTTATCTTACTCCAAAAGTGGACCTTCGTTAACACCACCAATTAAAGATTACAATTTTCCAGATGGAGAGTATAGTGATGTGACTAAAGTTTGGTGATTTCCATCAATGTATTCTGAACTTTCTTTTATGTGCACTGTACATATATAGCTGTGTCATGTAGATCAGTTATAAAGAAGCATTTTAGTGAAGAATTCACATTTTAATAAATGAAATCATGAGTGTTGTGATCAGTCCTTAACTAGTAAGTTATGGTACATGCATAAATCAAGTTGGAGACATGTAAATCCTTTACCAGTTGAAATATAGTTAAAAGTTGAACCAGAAATTGAAAATATTGAATCTCATATATATATATATTAATATATATATATATATATATATATATATATATATATATATATATATATATATATATATATATATATATATATACATGTATATATATATATATATATATATATATATATATATATATATATATATATATATATATATATATATATATATATATATGACACAATGTACTGTAAACCAAACATTGAAATATCTAATATATTACTGTAAACCAACATTAATTCATGTGCAAGAAATATAGCAAAACTCATGGATATTTGATACATCCATAAGTTTTGCTACCTTCTTCTACTTTTGAATATTTCTTGCCACAAATCAAATTTTTATTTGATTATTTTTAACAGTAGAATGTTTCCTATAGCACGGAAATTAATAGTTGCAAATAAATTTCAAACTGTGGAATTGTGAATAAAAGTCACAAATAATAGTTGGTTTACACTTTTTTTACCTTGACAGATACATGTATATCTGATTTCTCTGTCTTGCAAAGATTTGTATCAAAGAAAGTTGGTTTACGTGTACATCACAGTACTTTAAAATGGTGACTTATGAGAGAGGATAAGTATATTTTAACCATCTAAAGGTAAAGATCAGTATCAGCTTGTATGGAAAACATCTCATCCTGAGTTACCTGGCCCTCCAAGCTTGTAAAACCCATGGCCTTTGGGTGGATGGTAGGGCTACATTGGTACTTAAATAAAGTACCTTAAAGTAATAGACAACTAGTAGGAATATTACAAGTAGTTAGTGCTTTACCAAAAAAAAGATCAACATGTAGGTCATATATTTAAAAAAAAATCCTTGATTTTTTTTTCACTCATGGACATCTAGCAGGCAATTTTCATGATTATAACAAGCAACTAGCTTTCTACAAAGAATTTAATATTCAGGCTTCTTGGGTCCAGAATTCACACCAAGAGTGGGGCTCACTTACTTGTAGTTCATCATGTATTAAAAAAATTTACGAAGTGCCTTTGAAAATCTTATTTAATATTCACAAACATTTTGCAAGCAAACTTTATGCATGATGGCAGCTAGCTATTTGCCGTGCAACATATTGTGAAATAAGGATACCTTTAGTCAAGGGTTTAAAATGCAAGAGTTTAGATTTCTTATTTCAGGTTGGTCTTAGTTGGTCATATTAAGGGAGACTCTTGATACTCAAGTAACCAGCAATGTCCTTAGACATTTTATGTAATTTTATGACTTTAACAAGCAATAAAGATTTACTTGAGATTTGAAGACTGATTTAAGCATGTTGCAAGAAATTAATGTGTTTAAATGTAGGAGCTATGTGGCTGTCATCAGGCGCGGATCCGGGGGGGGGGGGGGGGTCCACCCCAGTCAAAATAAAATTTCCAACCCAAAAATTTCTTGACAAGCAAAAAGAAAAAAAAAAACTTAATTCCCTTCCCAAAGGTATTAAACCCAGGAAAAAATTTCTTGACAAGCAAAAGAAAAAAAGAAAAAAAAAAACACCACCTAAAATCCATTTCCCAGACGTGAAAAACACCTATTTCATGGTGGGATCCATGATTTCTAGGGGGTCCAAAGAAATTTTTTATTTGCTTCATTATGTACTTTTAATAACTCTGCAAATTCAAGGGGGGGTCCAGACCCCTCCCCCAAACCCCCCTCTAGATCCGCGCATGGTCATTAACACAACACAGGAACAATGTAAGGCTTCTGGACTAACGTTTAACAAGTGAAGGCTAATGTGCCATGTTCATGATGCTAATTTCCATAATCATTCTTAAACATACATGTATAACTGTACAATACATTAACTGTATTTCAGTGCCACTATATGTTCAACTTTACTGTAGATATTTGATTTTTTTCACTTGTGTGGTTTTTTTTTGAGCAACAAACAGATTGTTATTTGTATCTACACACAATCCACGAGGCTCTTTCAGTCTACAGTCTATGTAACGGACGATATGCCCATATTGATCAAGGATGTGGAGAAAGTCATTGTATAAATCAGCTATAAGGATGTGACTCTGGCTGTCTGTGGTGATTCCTCTTGGTTTGAATAATTGGTACTTTGGACCAGTATACATGAAATTTAGTTCCCCAGCATTATTGACCACAACTACTGCTCTAGCTGAATAGTCGGCCACACAGATATCCAGGTTCTTATTCTCACTGATGCATTTAACATAACCATATGAATAGAAAGGAATACCCTCCTCATCAAACTGAATGGTTTGTTTAATCTCTGTGGAGCCACAGTAACGGACAATCTTTGATTGTTCATACATATCACTTTCCATGACAACCAGGAGGTCACCAGAGGAAGTGTTGCAGATATTGCAAGGTATCCAGTTCTCTGATGTGATCATAGTTTCAATCTCTTCATTCTTCACAATGTTCACAGTTCTGTCACTAGGATCAGTATAAACAAGATAGCCTTGTTCTGTAACTGCTATGTCTGAGGGGGGGTTTCCTGACTTGGTTGTGATTGCCTGGAGTTCTGAGCCCTGATTGATACTGAAGAGTTTCATGCTGCTGTCATATCCACATGTCCAGATTTCCTCATCACTCAGACAGGCCACATTATGTAGGTTTGATTCATACTTAGTGTTTATAGTAGTGATGATTTCTGGTTCATCAAGCAGCTGTTTGACTGGAGGAGAAAAGCCAGTTTCTGATGATCTTTGTGTTTGTTCAATACTGTAACCATGTCTTTCTGAAGTAATTTCACATGGTAATATAGATCCAAACAGGCTACAAAGTTTTTCACCTTGGATTGTAACTGGAGTGAATTTAGGTAATAATTGCACAGGTTTTTCTGGAAGATTTTTATAAGTATGTATGTTAGATGTAATATTAAACAATTTTGAAATCTCCTGGGAGTCTATAACAACTTCAACTGAGTTTATTTCATTCCTTATTTCAGAAGTTTTCTCATTCATTTCATCCAGATATCTCTGTAGAATTTGTAACTGATCAGTTTTCAGTTCCTCAACCTGAGCTATCAGTTTTGTGACAACTTTGTCAATTTCCCTGTGCCATTCCTCTCCATGTTTTGTTATGGCTACTAAGAGACCTTCACATTTGTTTCCTAACTGTTGTATCATGTTTTCTACATCAGATACAATTTTTTCGTATGTTGGATATATTGCATCTTTCAATTCATTGTTTTCTTTGATGATCTTTTTTTTTCTTTCTTCAGATACTTCCAAGATTTTCAAAAAAATATGACCTGAATGTTGATCAGATGCAATGCAAGTGGTGCAGGCAGGAATCTCGCATTGGTTACAGTACATTTCACAATGTTTTTTGTCATGAAAAGTACATAAAGGGTAAAGTGGAATTGATTTTCGAAAAATAAACCTTACAATTACATGCTTTTTCTTGGATTCATCGGATGTCATGTGTTCTCCAATACAGGCATTACACAATTTGACATGACATGTATCACAGTAAAACTGTACCATTTCAGTCTCACAGAGGTCACATCGTATCAACTCCTGGGCACGGATGTCTGGGTCCATATTGACACAACTTTTTGGCTCTGAAATAAAGAGAAAATATTTTAAGAAGCATAAAAAGAAAAGTGATCAAAAAAAATGTCTCCCCTTTGATGGGGAAGCATAATTCAGCATTTTGTTTATTAAAAATGAATAAGAAATAAATAAAAATATTCCTATAACTGAGTCCATTGATATGAAAGAGTCATTTCCTCTTCAACAGCAAGATATTTGAAGTGAGAAATGTAGATTTACAAAAATGTTAAAACTGCAGATGCCTTGAAAATACACTGTACATATGTTAATTATCATTTGAATTGCAGGTGGATATACATGATAAAAGGTAGCATACATAAATTTTACAACTGATTCAGAAATGTTTTTTTTCTTTTTTTGTGCATTTGTGTGTGTGCACATGCGAGCGTGTACTCCATGTAATCACATTTGAACCATCTTTTAAATGTATACAAAAATGTTTATAAGGTAGAGGCAAAGTAGACATGCAGATTTTAAAAAAATGTTGTGCATTCCCAATGATAATTGAAAATATTATAATATAATAAGAAGAAATATAAAATTTGTCAGAAGTTTTTGAAATATTGGTATTTACCTGTAGAGTGCAATGGTGGCTCTCTTTACAACCAGAATAGACATGTATAGTAGGTTATACACTCTGATCACATGACCCATTCACCTGTAAGGCTTTTTTTTAATTCTTCCTGGTCTAGAAGGGTATTTAAATATTCAATGCACATTACCGGTATGCAGTATCTATGTTCTGCAATCATTAATCTAATTTTAGTACACTGCATTTCTATACATAATGTCTTTATTATCCTTATTTATGCATAAACAAAGATTTTAAAAATCCCCAGTTTAATGTGAACATGAATATTTGGGCTGGTGCTTGTATATCTAAAAACATGGTATTTCATCAATGATCCAAATTTATAAGATTATGGAAATTGTGTTAACTGTTGACAAAGAATTGGTTTTTATTATACATGTTGCATTGAACTAGTATGGTATAGTTTATACACTTTCTTCTCAGTGCCCATCTAGTTGTACACAGACACTGTTTTCAGCATTTTAAGTCTTATGAATGGAGTTAATACAAAAAAAAGATAGTTTTAACATTTTTTTTTTCAAATTTAGTTCACCTGATCTGACCATCCATGTGAGCTTTTCTAATGAAAGTTTGTCATCTGTCTGTGGTCTGTTGTCATTAACTCTTTATATTTTTTAGGTCTGTTCTTGTCATTATCTCTTTACATTTGAAACTTCAAGAACCACCGGACCAATATTAACCAAATTTGCCACAAAGCATCCTTAGATGAAAGAGGTGTAAAGGCCAAACAAATTTAAAAGATACTACCCATGCAAAATGTCGTTGAATTTAGCCAAGTGGTTCTGGATAAGAAGTCAGAAATGTAAAAAGTTAACAGACAGACAGGTGTAGTTGTTAAAATCAGGTTGCTTGGGCCAGGGGTATGGGTGCAAAAGAGGGTCACAGAATCACAATTAGTTACTAGTATATTAACATACAAGCATTTTCGTGTACTGTATCTTCAATTTTGTTCAAATAATGACCTTGGAGTTAAATAGGGTTCAAAATATAATGTCAAAGTTTTAAACAGATATTATTTAGAGAAAATCTTTTTAAAAAATATTTCTGTTCAAGAAAAAGCAGGCTGTGTGCCTAATATATCCCATTCAGAATATTTCACTTATGTTTGGACACCACCAATTGCTGTTGAAATAATGCTGCAAATTTAGGCCTGTACTAGGCACCGAGGGCTGGAATGGGGTTAGATTGTGGATATATGAATATATTGGAAAAAATATTTTACAAATTGTTTTTAAGAACAGCAGGGAAAGTTAGTCATACATGTATTAATATGCAAGCATATTTCAGGTTCAGATATGACTGAAGTTGAACTCCAACCTTGCACATGAATCAAATGCTCTTCCAACTGAACCACCCGATTTTAAAAGTCTAATTTTCTTCTCCATGTTTTGGCTTTATTTTGCCAGGAATTGGGAGGGGGCACTGTGCACACAACTTCAAATAATTTCTACTTACAGATTGAACAAAAAATATTGCCAATATATATCTGTAGTATACTAAAGAAAACATAGCTACTTTATACTTGTGACCCCACAATAACAACATCTGATGACCTTTTTACGTGCTAATCAAGGAAGTTTTGCCTGCTTGGTAGTCCCACAAATAAGGTCACAATTCTGAAAAATATCGCAAGAACAATAATGAGTGGATGGTTGATCTGACAAAACATTTTGCATGGATTTCAGCACCCCCCAAAAAATAAAAACAAGTAAATTTATTTTGGGAGTGATGCTTCAAGCGAAAATATGTGGTAATTAATTCCTCACGTACAGTATATTAAGATATCTGCAGAACCACTCAAAATAGATATTTTAATTTCCCCTAAGCAAAACCAAACTTTCAGAAAACACAAAGTTTTGATTAAGATTTTATTATTTATTTTTTGTACTTGAAACATATTAAAGAACAAATTCTCTTGCAAAAATTAATAATAATAACTGATTTGTGATGGGAAAAAATTTACATTAAAAAGTACAAACATTTCAATTAACATGAAAATAATGTAAATTTTTAAAACACATCATTTTTCCTTTTTTTTTTTTAAAAAACAACACTAATAAATCACTTAATCTATTCCAACAAAAACCCATGTTGATATCTGTACCCTTTGAATATTGACATGGACACTGTACCTTGACTTTTCACATATGCACACTGACCCCCCCCCCCCTTCCCCCTTTTTTCCAAAAAGTTAAATAACCACAGGCTTGGTCATTGCACAGTCCCCTGTCTAGGAAATTGTCCATCACATCTTTTCTGTATGAATTTGTTATTATCTACTAGGAATAATCAAGAATCTGCTCCAGAATTTTTGTCCTTGTGTGTCACTAAACCTTTCTGTATCAAGTCTGGAATTTCCACAGCTAACCATGGACCCAACTAAAACAAAAGAAAAACTAAGGTAATCAAAGATAACAAAGTCTCACTCTATATGAATGAATGTTTTGGTAGTGTGTATATCCAAACTTCTACGCAAGTTTGATCTGGGTAGGATTTATAGTTATTTGGGAATGGGCCTGCTCCCAAAACTTATACTGTTCAATAATGTGGAAAATGTAAGTCAGATTCTGCATTCAAAGCATGTCTTTGCAAGTTTAATCACCATTCAACTTATATTTACTTGAGAATGGACCTGCTCCAAATACTGTATTCTGATCATACTGATCACTCATCTGGAACAACCCCTGAAGCAAGTCTAGTACAGTGCATCCCTAGATGCATCATCCATGCAAGTTTGATTACTAAAGGGCTTATAGTTACTTGAGAATGGATCTGCGCCCAAACTTAAATCTGATCACTAATCTGGTTGATGTAATATTATGTACTTTAGCCCTTGTCTTGAGGGGAAGAATCTAGTAATTCCTACTGACAGTCAAACCTTGTTATCTCGAACTCGACCAGGAAAAAACTTCAATATAACCCAGGATTCGAGATATCGAGGGTAAATTAGTTAAAGAGTAAGCGACTGGGACTTCCAAATCACTTCAACATATCCATGGTATTGAGATATCAGTGTTTGAGATACGGGAGTTCAACTGTATTACTTTGTGTACCTTAAATTTGGATCCTTGGATTAACTAAAGCCTGGTCTCCATGCATTATGCCTTATGCAAAGTTTGAATAAAATTGACCCATGAGCCTCACTCAGGTCTAACAAACAGAATTATAATGAGAAAATATACTTAATGAACACAGAAAGGGAATAGACAGAGGAGTTGCTAATTTTCTTGGTCAAACAAGTTATTTACTAAGTTGATATAAACTTGATTTGGCAATGAATATCTGTCATTAAAAAATATGAAACTTTCCATAAAATCAGCAATATCAATAGTCTATGCAGGCCTTCACTTACCCCTAATGCCATTGCATGAGCAATACCAAATTTTGGAACATTTCTTGCCCACAATGGTTTGAAGTGGTCAGTAAGACAGATCTTTCCCCCTCTGCAATGAAACAAGACAACACAGTGAATGTGAATATTTCACATACACCTCAATTTATAACACAGGCGTTACAGGTACATGCCCATGTACAAGTTTAAAATTACATGTAACAAGATGCTCATGAAAGGACCTACAATAAAAGGGCTACAAGTAATTATGACTTTAATATTGATTTCATTTATTTCATATTGAATCACTGTTGATTTTTTTTTGTTCATTAATACAAAAGTTCATTAACACTTCTTTTACTAATTTTACATTAAGTTTTGACAATGAAGATGAGGATAATGATGAAAGGACTGATGATAATGATGAAGTAGAGACAGTGCTTATTCATATCTCACCTATACATTTTTGCTGTTTTACCATCCAGCTCTGGAAGAGCTATCTCAATAGCTGTTGTTGGATAAGTAATTGGAATCTGTATAAACATGATAAACACAAAACAAATTAAAATAGAATTTTTTTTAAATAGAATACATAATGTAAATTTCAAGTTTTTTTTTTCAACATCTATGCAATTTGGGTCAATTACATTGTGATGATGTTTCAGTTAACTGCTGCAGCATCTGAAGCTTAATATCTATCCTTAATATCATTCATTCAAGGCTGGTTAATAAAGGACTCAGGTCCTTTTGGAATTGACATATTACACTGCTTTGACTTGATAAATCATACAGAAAATTTAAGACACATGCAGCATCATAACATGATTAATAGTTATTAGTATGCATCCTTATTAGCATTCCTCTAAATATATTTACTCAGAAAATACAGGTCACATAGAGTATCTCAAGCATGACTGATAGATCCCATGATGCAACATCTGAGCTAATTACTTAAAACATCTGTCTGAACACTCAGAAAATATTTGTCATCTGAAGCATTTGAGGCATAAATGGTAGTTTGCAAGACACAACAGATGAACACCTATGCAAAACTGGTCAAGTTAGGGTTTAATTACTTGGGTATGGAGTCTATGGACCTTCTCTAAAATCATCTACATGTTCACACATCCAAAAAAATTAGGTCCTAAGCAGCATCAGAAGCATAATTGTAGCATGCACCTAAAGATGCAATATATATACAAGTTTGTTCAGCATAGGACTCACAGTTGATTGTTTACCTGCTCCAAAAACATTTTCCTCATCACTCATACATAAATTTATACACATGCTAAAGACAAACAACAAAAATTATAGAAATAATGGGCACTCACATCAAACTCTACATCAAATTCATACTTGAGGAGTTCATGGATATACCAACACTTTCCAAACCAGCGAGTTCCTTCCTTATTCGACTCCAAACGGAACCAATCATTGTCTGATTCTTTGTTGTTCTGGACATACTGAAAAATAATCATAAGAAAATTTTTTCTCTTAATGTTTATCAGTACATGTACAATAAATACTGTAAAGAATAGAGGATAACAACATTGATATTTACTGATGGATGAGCTTTCCTTTATGTGCTTTCTAACACTCATCATATTCTTCATCATGTTTATGTTTATAAATGTGCTTGCTATTGCCCAGTTTTATTTTAAAGTAATACAAGGTGACTCTGGACACGTGTCACTGATCACATTTAATAATTTAATTCTGGTTAAAACGTGGTATATGATAAAAAAAATTACTTTATATTGTACAAATTGGGTTGCCTACATCACAATGACTTGCGTCAAAAATGTATCGATCCGCCTGCCCCAACCCAGTTTATACAATATAAGTAGGGTAACTATTAAACTCATTCCTTAATTGCAATTGTAGAAATAACGCTGTATCATTTACAGATTCAACAAACTGGTTTTTGTAAGGCCTACTTAAAATTTTATTTTTTTTTCAATGTACAGCCCACCTGAAAAAAATCAACAACTTTTCTGAAAAGAACAAATTTTACCCATTCTGAGAGCAAACAATATACATGTAGGTAAATTCCTCATCCAGAAAATCTCCATATTGACATTATTTAAATTAAATTTTCCAAATAGTAGATCAGGGTTTCAAAAAGATTACAAACAGATGGTACTTTTACAAAAAATGGAGGTACCATGTAGAAGCGATTTTAATTGAATATTGATGATACTGAATTTTTCTCACACGAATATTTTGGCCGCTTTAATCCTGATTTCAACCAGGTAAAAGTACCGGGTACCAGCAGTTTTTAAAAAGAATGGCAGATGCATATCAGAATCATTTGGGATCGGGTTTTACAATTTGTACTTGTTTCGGGGCACGTTAATGCAAAGTTTGAAAAAGTGTTAATAAATCATACATTAGGAATTATTTGGAAAATGTTAGGGTTTTTTCTATAAGTAATCAATGTTTCCAGACATCTGGTGCACAAAGTGCGGTAGGTGCAGCCTTATTTTTAAAGAACAAGGCATAAACAAGCAAGTGGAGCAGATGCCATCACAGAGCCTGCATACCTTTACTTTTATTTCATATTCAATATGTATACATATTAATAAAAGACCCAAGTACCTGTGTCACAGACTAGACCGTGTCTCTTGAAGTTTGAAGAGACGGATCAAAGTTACAAATGTAAAGGAACTCCGCTCGCCCCAACGGTCACACCTTAAAATATATTATGTAGATAAGGAACCATACATATAAGACCCAGACGTATGTGGACAAATGTCACAAAATGACATATGGCCAAGTTAGAAGTCAAGTTAAGCAGAAGAAAACGTCCAAATCCGTGAGAAATACCTTGATCAGACTTTGGTATTCTTCTTTTAATCTAGTCACCCACAATTCTCCATCTCTTGGTCCAGCCTTTGTCTTTAAAAGAGGAATTTGTGCAAGAGTTCGTTTCGTGGCTTCGTCTACCATGATTACATCAATGTTTGACAGCGTTTTGTTATGTCATCATCTTTTTACCTATAAGATAAACGCTTAGGCGACGAAGATTTGAGTTGATTACTAATCAAATATTAAGTGTCATGAATCCGGAAAATCTTCTATTTATAATCCAACATGTTCAAAACGAGCTCCTTGATACGCTGCATTTCAAAGAATGCAGATACATTCAATTAAAAATCATTAATACATAGATCATGTTTCTGAGATAGTAAAGTGTTAACCACTGAGAGACATAACTTATTTTGATATCTGTTTTCAGTGTGAATTTTAACGATCCCAGATTATTAGAAATGGTTAAAATGGGATAAAAATCTTCTACACAGAACAACAGAGACTTGGCAGGCCCGTAGCATCGTTTCTTAAAAAAGGGGGTGGGATGGGGGTCATGAAACACAAAAAAAGTTTTAAAAAAAACAGAAAAAACAAACAAACAAACAAACAAAAAAAAAAACAAAACAAACATAATAAAACTAAACTCGAACAACATATTTCCAGGGGGGAGGGGGGCGTCAATTTTAAGTTCCATTCTAAATTACCGGGTAACAGCAAACTGGCAAAAGACTATACTCTCTTACAAAAGGCTTCGCCGGATACTATACTGCGTTTGCTTGGCGAAAAAAAATTAAATATTATATATTTACCGTTTATTTAGAACATTCCCGCCTTTACCTCACCTATAGTAAATTCAACATTTACAACATGATACTAACACTGAACTAAGACCACAAACACCTAATGTTATATTTTTTTCTTTTAAAAAAAATGTATTAACCCGTCTTCCGTGCAGAAAATCAAGTTATTTAAATTGTACTTTTTTTCTTTTGCCTTTACCCTGTGCACATCTCACAAAGAAAATAGGCGAACAAGACGAGAACAAACATGACAAATGCCTATGGTTCGACAAATAAGAAAGTGAAAAATTAAATCTAATTTTCTTTCATATTTCAGTTAAAATTAATGTATATGTTATATAGAATTTTCAAACTGTAACATTCTCACGAATGTTAATTTAAAAATTATTCATCCATGAAATAGCATTTAGAAATATACATATTTTGCTAATCAAAACCATGGAGGAAGGACCCATTCTACCTTGAAAATATACTTTTTTGACACAAAATTCGTATTTTTTCAAGAAATATTTGAAGTCCAGTTATTCAGCAGTTATATCACAAACAAGATTTAATAACTTGCATTGTGTGGTGTAGTGGTTGTAGCATGTCTGCTTCCAAGTACCCTGTTAATATGTTGTTCTCAGCCAAGTAAAAATGGTTCCAATCTCATTTCGAACTTCAATTTAAATGTGAAAACCATTCATTAAGATATCGATAAGAGTATTGAGTATCTAGTGTGCGATTATTAAACGCATAAGCTCGTAGCAACGTTTTCAAAAGTTGTGGGGGGGGGGCAAAAAAAAAAAAAAAAAACTTTCCAAATACTGGAATTTGCCAAAAGTGGGGAGGTCAACCAACACATAGCAGAATACTATACTCAGAAAATAGCCTCCCCCCCCCCCCCCCCCCCCGCATTCTACGGGCAGTGCACAAACATGATCTGTCATAACCTATAAAAAAACCGTAAGAATCGTCCACGGTCAAACGTTAGGTAACTCCAACAAACCAAGCGAAAGTACTCAGACTATGGGGGCATTAGGTGAGATATTCTGATATAAGGGACCAGGCAAAATTTATCACAATGATGGGACCGGTACAAACAGGCATGGGACAATGAATTTTTTCATCGAAGAAAACCATATGGGACAAAAACATTTTTTAGCATTAAGTAGCCATGGGACAAACACTTTTTTAAATGAGTTACAGTACTTCACTCAAGAGACACATTTATCATATTTAAACATATTTTATCTTTTAAAAAATAAATTCTTCAAAAAGTCGTTATATCTTTTAAAGTCAAACAAAGGATACAAAGTGTAAATCTTCAAATTAATACTGCATGCGAAAATATCAAAGTATAACAAACAATGTTAATAAGAGTTATGAACATGAACAAACAAATTATATCAATAAATCATTCAAAATATACTGCTAACAAATTCTAGAGTAACATCTCTAAAACAACCAAAATCAATCTATGTATTTTACATGAATGGTCTCTCAAGTTTCATCCATTCAGAAAACTTTTATAGAACAATTATAGGCATTTATGCCTGCTGTTCGATGCAATTCATTTATAATGAAGAAAAAAATATTTTAAACTAAAACTTTCATCAATGTTTGAAATACCTGTAATCTTTAGATTTACACTTTTAATGTAACAATAATCTCACATCAAAATTTAACCATGGGACAGTAACTTTTTTATAAGTCTAAAGGCATGGGACAAATATTTTTTTCAATACGAAAGCCATGGGACATGTAATTTTTTTTAATGAGAAATTTTTTTTGTACCGGTCCCATCATGGTGATAAATTTTGCCTAGTCCCTAACTTAACCAAAGGCACAACTGCCGCTATAAGGGCGGATCAAGGATTTTTTCCAGGGGGGGGGGGATCTACATGTCAGACTTGTAAATTTTTTGATCAAAGAAAAAATTGCCCAAACCCCGACACTCCTTCCCCTAGTTCCGCCCTGGCCACAGATTCGACAATAACCATTCAATCTCCAGGTTAACCTTTTTTTAAATTAACCCCATCAAATATTTCACATTTGATGAACAAATAACAATGACGAGCTGTGCAAATTTGTGATAACACATCTAGGAGGCAATAAAAATATTTAAAACAAATAAAATCAAACAGTGGGTACCAACATATTTGACATCTTTACCTTGACCTTGGAGTTTGACTTATTTTTGCAAAATCTTATCAAATTTTATCCTTGGTAATAACTTTTGAATAACTGGTGCTCTGGCTTTCATACAAATGTGTATTCCTTGTGATAAGGCCTTCCTTTTGATATGAACAAGTTTGACCCTTTGACCTTGACCTTTGAGTTTGATCGACTTTTGAAAAAAAATGACCTTGGCCATGACATTGGAACGGCTAAGGCTAGGACTTTCATATTTCACAGGTGTACTCCTTGTGACAATACCTTGTTTGGGTACCAACATTTTTTAGTTCTTGACCTTGACCTCGGAGTTTGACTTACATTTGAGAAACTATAGCCTTTGCTTTGAGCTGCCATACGGGGCATGTTTCACAAACATATGTTATTTTTTTTATGTCCTTGTAATCAAAGATTTGGGGGATATAGTTTTTGGGGCATATAGGTTTTGCTCTGTCCATCTGTATATCTATCTGTTTGTCCGCAAAAACTTTAACTTTTGATTGATTGGACCTATGACTTTCATATTCTTTGTGACCTTTCTTTGGGTACCAAAATATTTGACCTCTTGACCTTGGAGTTTGACCCACTTTTGCAAAATTTTACCAAACTTTAACCTTGGCAATAACTTTTGAACAGTTGGTGCTATGGCTTCCATACTTTACATGCATAATCCCTGTGATAAGACCTTTTCTTGGGTATAAATATTGTTGATGTTTGACCTTGGAGTTGGACCTACTTTTATCAAACTTTAACCTTGGCCATAAGTTTTGAAAAGTTGAAGCTATGGCTTGAATGTTATACATGTGCATTCCTTGTAACAAGACCTTCCCTTGGGTACCCACAAGTTTGGCCCTTTGATCTTGACCTATTTTTGAAACTTTAATATTGCCCAGAACTTTTGAACAGTTGGTGCTAGGGCTTTCATATTTCACATGTATTTTCTTTTGACAAGATATTCCCTTTAGAACCATAAATTTTTACCCTTTGACCTTGTGTTATAATTGAGTTTTAATTTTCACTTTCTTGTTTGCTGAACCATAGGCAAATTTTCCACATTTATGCCTTAATTATCCATGCTTATGGTTTAACTTTATTAAGTTTTTAATCTCCTGCTCACTTCGAATAAATCAAAACAAAGCAGTAACAGAGATTATCTTTAATTATCATATTCAGCTGTTCATAATGTACAAAATTTTATTATGCCTAGGTATAAATTATCACAGAATTATTGACATTATTCAATTATCAGTCTTAATAAACTATATTGTACAAAGAGCAAGAGCCACTTAGGGCCTTTTTGGCCCTGAGAATTTCTGAAAAATCGAAACTGCTCAGTTAAGGTTGAAATTGCAGTATTTATAATTTGGACACTTGGTGACCGTGTATCTATTAAACATGATGTAATTTTCTCTCTAGTCAATGCATTATGACATCATAAAATGCCTCATTTTTCCCATATCCTGTAAATTCCCTTAAAAATGGCCAAAAGTTGAGATATTTTTTCAATATTTCACATAGAGCACAACCTCTGATCCAAAATATGCAATTACATAATGAAAGACCTGTTTCTGAAGATCACAAAACATGTTTTAATTTTTGGATCGTGGGCTGTGCTCATATTTTAATTCTTTGCTGAAGGTAGTCAAAGACGCATGTTTTCTGCAAAATTCAAGAACATTGCTTTTTCTCAAAGCCTGTTGTCCAATACCTGGGGATTCTCAAAAAGAAATTTTGTTATAGGAAATGAAAGCACTAAGACTCTACTTTATTTTGATATATGAAATGGGACAGAGGATGATAGTCAATTAATTGATATAAGGACAGGGCCATTTTATGCATAAAGTGAACCTAGCTCTTATTTAACCATCACAAAGTTTTGTATCGTCATGTAGTCAACTACTGGTATTTTGTAGAAATATTACAGACAAAAATATAAAGAGGAGTAGAATTTTGAAAGAATTTAACACCTTATTCATTATCTAATTTTCATGAAATCCACATTCACCAAGATCAAATGTCACTAAGTATAATTATGCATCTTGATGTAGTTGAGTAGTTTATTTGTGCACCAAGTTTTATCAAAATCAGATTAAAACTATATAGAGGAAAATCATTTAAATTTGATTCATGGCAGTAGGAACCGGGGGGGGGGGGGGGGGGGCACAGGGGGGCCGTGACCCCCCAATAATTTTGCCGATATATAGATTACTATAGAAAACATACATACTAAATGTTTGTGCCCCCTCAATCAAAACACCTGATGACCTTTTTTTTTTTTTTTTGCTTGTCAAGAATTTTTGGTAGTTGAAAGTGCCCCCTCAGACTGAAAATGTATGGCTGTGCACCCCCCCTCCCCAAAGTGAAATTGCTCCCTACGGGCCTGTGATTACTGATGAACAAACCAATGACTAGTACAGCAAGAAAGAATATGTTACTAAAAGTCAATAACATATTATTTTGGTTAGAGATTGTGGTCAGAACAGGATGTTTTGAGGTTAATGATCTCTATAAACTGAAGATCACTGTCTCCATGTGGAGGTAAGTTGTTAGCTGTTCCGTTTTTATGACCCCTTTCTTAAAGTGCCTCAACACAATTTCTTTTGTCTATTTTTCTGTTGTTATATTTCCAAACGCCATTTGGCAACAGAACTTTTGAAGTACTAGATCAAGAAGACCTTGGAAAATACAAATTTTATCCCATTTAATAATTACATTTTAATAAATTTAATGAAATATGCAGGTGTAATTAAGATTTAAAAAATTTATATACTATTGCTATTTGCGTGGCTTCTCCTTACAATTAAAATCAAGCTTAACACTTTTTTAAGACCAAAATCTGTGAAATCTGTCGGAAATAATTTATATGAACTTGAAAAATATTGAAACATTTCCACATCATGTCATTCAGCAAAAATTTTGCTTTGTGTGTAACTTTTATCATAATTGTTTTCACCACACAGTGATAGCTAGGAATCTTGAGTTAAATTTTAATGACTGACTGATAGAATCTTAAAAATATGACAAATTGGTCTCCTAGTTACAAAATTGGTCTAAATTTGAGTTGTATAAATGAAAAAAAAAATTCAGAACTGCATGTGTATAAAGATGTCTACTCATAATAAAATCATACATACAAGAAGCAAGTTAATAAACCATTTAGAACAAAAGTACATGTAAGTCAACAAATGCATGATATGTAAATGTGTTGACTCGCTAATCATTTAATACATTTTCTATGTAAATTAGTCTAACACTGCAAACATATTTAAACTACAAGGATTCGTTTTTCTATGCAGGTTTAGATTTTGATATCTGAAATAGTGAACAAACTTTTTTTGGAAAACCATAAAATTAATGAATCTCACAAAACACTTGATTTTCAAAACCACAAAAAAAAAAATCAATCTTGCTGAAAAAAATACTTTCAGTATTTACATCAAAATAAAAATAATCTCCATGAAATATACTAATCTCTAAAAATATATATCCTATCACCTATGTGGTATAATTTCTGAAAGCATGTATATGGCTAAGCTGCTAATGATGAAGGCCCCTCCAGGAAATGTACTGCATAGGGATGGCTGGCTTCCTAATCTTGCAAGAAAAAAAAGATATTCATTTAGTTCATTCAATAAGAATAATTTCAATTTTGAATCAATATGCAGTTTTTACACCATTCTTCAATTTATACAGTGAAACCTGTCTACTCTGACATGTATGGAGAGACAAAGTTTGTTTCAGAATAGACAAATGTTGGATAACACAGTGTCAAAAAAACATGGAAAATAAAAAAGAAAGTGGGAATGAAAATAAAGGTCAGAACTCACAGTGAGATTGCACAGGTGTCAGATTAGACAGTTTCTACTGCAAATAAGTCTTAAGGAGTGGAAGTTTGGTTATTACATGTCTTTAGAAACTGGTTAATCATTATGGTTGGTTGACTTAACAAGCAATTACCAATTAACAAGTATTAGCAAAGGTGCACTGATCTTCCTGTGAGCTTGTATAATCCAGCTATGTTCAAACAAGCAAACATGTATTTACACAAGCATGCAAACATATGTCAAATGACATTTTAAAAATTATAGATGGTTCACAAATCTATAATTAAGAACATTCTTAATATTCATAAGCATTGAGAACAAAATAATTATTATCGTTTACTTTTTTAAGCTTTAACAACTGAATAAACTGCAAGGGAGATTGAATGGAATTGTCTATGAACTACTGCATTGGCAAGTTAATTTGATGGTTCATGACTGAAAATTCTAATGATAGGAAAAGAACAAATGTTTCATAAAAATCAGCAATTTTTATGACCTTAAAAATCTCTTCAACACAGGATCATTTTATTATTAGTGTTAAGAAAGATTTTCTTAAAAAATACAGGTGTACTACTTATAATTTATAGCGAGCGCAGCAAGCTGCACTTTTGCGCCGCTCACAATGCAAGCTCTAATGACAACGGCTGGGCGAAGAGGAAATTTGGACTTTGCACATTGATCCCAATGAATTTTTTTCCGCAGTTACCTCGAGACCCACAATGCAACGCTAGTGGATCTTGCTGCTAATTTCATTCTCACGGTAACAACAACTAAAAATTCAAAAAAATAAACTCACCTTGATTTAATGGATATTGCATACAGATAATACATTAAACGTTCTTTGTTAACATTTTGTACTTTTCAAACTTCGTTTATAGAAATGCAGCTAACAAACTACAACATGTGATGTCACAGTCTAGAAGTTCCAGATGTCTCATGTAGTTTGAAGAGGCGGATCTTAAAATTAATATAACAACTGTGCTCGCCCCAATGGTCACACCATCAACATCTTATGACTCCACCAAATACTTCAAATATGGTACCGTAATTGGCAAAGAGATACATGTACCAGCTATCATTTGAATACCATAACTCACAATTAATTCACCTAATGATACAGCATGCAACATGTTTTTATAGTCACATGCATATCATATTCATATTTTTCCTTAAAGAACATGTTTAAAGCTTTAAAATTCATAGATCTTTTAATCAAGATATAAAAAAAGTCATTGTCTTCAATTAATTAATTATCACTCTTTTTTCAGACATTAACTCCTACAATAAGGAAATGTTCTACTGCCTATGAAGGGAGATGTTTTATTGTCTATGACATCATAAGAAAATGTTTTACCGGTTATTTCCTCTGCTGTTTCCCAGTGCATTGACCTCTGGACAGCAAGCTTCCAGCGACTAAATCTGGCATCTCGTTCTTAATAATAAAAAGAAATAGAATTTTTAAAAAGACCTGGCAGAGAAGATTACATCTTCCAATTTTTTTTGACCATAAAAAAATAACCATTATCCACCTGAGTAAATTGTAAAAATTTCTAGAGATACACCTCTGGTCATTTTAGCTTACCTGAGCTTTGGGTTCATGTGAGCTTTCCTGCCCACCTGTTCTGTGTTATTGGTCAACTTTTTTCTACATATATTGGGCCATAAAGGGGATTCAATTTAGTTCAAAGAAGAGGTATGCCGCCTCCTTTTTTGTCCCAAGGGGAAATAATAAACAAAATGTTTATAAGAGGCCAATGGGCCACATCACTCACCTGAGGACTTTGGCTAGAAAAAGCAGAAATCAGTTCAATATTGATAAGTGATCCTCCTACACCCCAACCCCCGGGTGGGGCAGGGGAGGGTGCATGATTTGAACAAATTGAATCTACTCTAACTGAAGATTCTTCCATATATTTAAATGACTAATCATGGCTTTAAATGATTATTACAGATTTTTTCCTATGTATTCCTATGTAAAAGTTTGATCTCTATTATGGCCCTGTCCTACCCCTAAAGTCACAATATTAACAAGCCTGAATCTACACTAACTGAGGATGCTTCCATATTAGTATGACTAATCATGGCTTAGCTGCTCTTGAGGAGAAGAGTTTTAAAGATTTTTCCTTTATATTGCTATGTAAAACTTTGTATCAATCATTGTTGCCCCACCCTACCCATGTGGTCATGATTTGAACAAACTTGAATCAACACTACATAAGGATGCTTTTAATTTATGAATATGACTGATCATGGCTTTGCTGTTCTTGAGGAGAAGATTTTTAAAGATTTTTTCCTATATCTTCCTATGTATAAATTTGATCCCCTGT